TACAAGAATTGAGGGAATGATGTTTTTCAATAGTGACAGGAACAGTATCGATATCGGAAAGAAGAGAAATATCATGAGCTTGGGTAGCATTCTGTACAGTAATGATGCGCGTACCGCTCTTAAGAGCATGAAAAGAAATATCTTTACCAACATGGCGTAGGAGTGCCTTGCCAATACTGTGGTCGGAAAGATAGGCAGTAGAGGAAGTCGGTCGTAAAGTGAAGAATTTAGTCCATTGTGCATTCTGAAACTGAGCATGGAAAGGGAGTGCAGGATGTGTCGATCTTTTCTGAGAAGAACGAGAAGGTGGTGAAGTATCATCAACAGGTAATTGTCGTTGGCGTTTAGGCGTGGGACCAGAGTTGGTCCGACGTGGAACGGGCCAGTGATTCAAAAATTGCCGCACCGTAGAGGGAGAGGCCTGAAGCATAGTCAAAGGAGAGCGGAGGTCAGATAAATCGAAGGAGTCAGTCGAGACCTCAGTACCTGAAGCGGGCGAGGAAACAGCACCAGCAAGAGGTACAGAGGCATGAGGAGTGTCTGAAGAGTGGTCCAAAGATGAGGCGGGGTCAGAATGGGGTGCGGTATCAAGAAGGGGCCCAGGGGTATCAGGTTCATGGACTGGGGCTGCCATGGTTAGGTTACTTTTTTTTTTTCTTAAAAACAAAAAGAAAGAAGAAGAAAATAAAAATAAAAAAAAGAATAAAAAAAAAAGGGGGGGTCCGGGGAGGGATAGTTCCTAGGAGGAATGAAAGAGCCAGAAATCTCCCTCTGCACCCAAGAGCACCTCAGCACCGCTAGTAGCGTAGATGCAGCATGGAACCCGTGCCATACCCTACCCATCATGCCAGTAAACCAGCAATCCGGGATAGCAACCTCACATCTGCGAAGCTACCTCGGTGGACAAAAGAGAGGGCGGCCGGATATCCGCCACAAAGCATACCTCCTTCGGCCACCACCCCCGGAATCCAAAAGGTGGCTTCCAGAGATACACCCGTCGCCCGAGACACTCAAAGCCACCCTCCGGGATACCGGACAGGGATCGGGACATCCCCAGGCAATCCAGATTCCATGGCAAACTACGCCACCGCCAAGAACCTCAACGGAATGGGATGGACCCCGGTACCCTTTCCCCTACCTATGAACTAGCGTGCCTGTGGGAGAAAATTCCAAAGGCCAAAAAGGAAGGGCAAAAGGGAGGGGTGGGGAGGAGGAGGAGGAAAGGAAAAAGGGAGGATGGGATAGGGAAGGGGGGATTGGGGGGTAATTAGGTTCGGTCTGAGGAAGGAGACCGACAGGTCTAATTCCTCAGACTAAGAGCCTCTTCACCACGCCAAGGAGCCCCCCTTGAAGAGGCCAATCTTCAATAAAGGTAAGTAAAAATGTTATTTTATATGTATTACTATACATAATTGAAAACTATAGTATTTGTTGTATGTAAAACTGTAATTAATCTCTATAAAATGTACTTTTTGTGTGAATATTTTTGGATTTCTGGAACTGATTAATTGTATTTCCATTATTTCTTATGGGAAATATTGCTTCGAATTTCAGACTTTTCGAATTTAGAACTAGCTCCTGGAATGGATTAAGTTCGATTTTTGAGGTTCCACTGTAATGCAGTAGTCTGCAATACAGTAAATCTTCTATTTTTGTGTGAATAAAAAAATCAAAATAGAAAGCAAGAGTAATATAAGAGGGGCCTGGAGACGTGACTAATGAACAGAGGATATGTTATTTTAATGCCAAGAATGTCTGCATTATTTATTCTGAACCCTATTTTGAAATTGGCATCTTTTTTAATTTGCATAAAATTGGCCAAATTGCCAATTTCTGACCACTTTACTGGGTAGTTAAAATTGGTAAATGGGCAGTTTCTTGTACTCAGTTGATAGAAAAAATGGAGTTCTAAAGAAATTGCTATGAGTTTGGTCAACTGGAACAATGGAATTGGCCAAAAATAGGGCTCAAATTTTACGAAATCGCCGATGCGTATGTATCGCCAAGATCGCTAACTTCGTGGGAGGGTAATTCCGCAAGTTTTTGATCAAATTTCGTACTTTTGGTGTCATTACCATTGGGAAAAGATTCTCTACCATTTCATAAGAAAAAATATATTTTTTTTAAATATTTTTCGACATTAAATGACAGTTTCAGAAAGGGGCTTGCGACAGTCAAAGGGTTAAAGCATGAATAACAAAAAAAAGGCACAATACCATGACTGGAACGATACACAAATAACCCGCACATAAAAGAGAAGCTTACGGGCTATTTGGTTAAAGCATGGCCCACATCAAAGATTTTGATGTGATATTAGCACTATCAGTCTAGTCGTATTGCAGACATTTTTTGAGGTTTAGGGACAAACCCCTCAAAGGAAGTATCTTGATGCTGGTGAGGGGCTCTTTATTACAGAATTGGCCCTTTGCTCCAATTCCTTAAATAGTCTGAATGTTTTCCATTTCTACAAGTGTAATAAGAGACTGAACACCCATCAAGGTTGAAGGACTGTACACCTCAAAATTACCTCTACAATTCCAGTCTCCAGTATATATTCTTTGTATAGGTGTTGAAGAACTTGCCCATACATACCACTTTGACCAGGGTTTGAACCTGTGCAACTTTTGGGCAAATTAAACTTATGCTACTAAGTATTACACCATCTTTGATTATATTTTCCCTTTAACACTCCAGACTACCCTTACTGCCTGCCTCTTGCATACTCCTAACCCTTGCTGGTCTTTGATCTTAGTATATTTCATCTTGAGCACATCTAGCACTGTATAACCCTTGTGGGTTTAGTATTTAGTTTTGACTGTAATATGCTACTAGGCACCTACATTGCACTAAAATACAGTGCTAGGTTGTCCATATTTACAGTGGTTCAGTAAAAAAAATCCTTTTCCCTCATGACTGATGGATGTGACTGTTCATTTTTATCAATGATCTCCTGGGTGTTCAGTCCATTGAGCACCCAATATAATTGTTTTACTGAATTATGCCCAAACTATTTCATCATTTGGTGGCCAATGTGGCAACTTCTACATGTATAAACAAAGTGGGAACCTGAATGGGTAATTTATCAATAGGCAATCTGAGAATAGGTACAGTAAATCATGTGCAAAATATAGTTTGAAAAGCAAATATAAAACTATTTGCATAAAATGTAATGTACATGTACTTCATATACATAAAATAATATATCAGTACTTTGTATCTTGCAAAATAATACAATACTGTATAACACACCAATATTGCACCTCAAATTAATTTGCTGCATTTTGCATAAAAAATAAGATAATGTACTTTACCATACACATATAATGTACAAACTGAAATATCACACTTGTGAACAGCAATATGAAAGAAAAATTCTAGTGCCTCTATCTGCAAACCTAAGCATGAAGAAGGCACATTACCATTCCACTCACAGCCAGGCATGAGAGAGGCATGTTATCAGCCCATGCTCCTGGGCAGACAAGTTGCCAATCAACCCCTTCTCCCTTGGGCATGTTACCAGTCAGCCCCTCTAGGAGAGAGGCAGCCACATTACTGTTCTGGGTAAGACTGTCATTGAAGCAATGGTAATAAACCAAGTCCAGGAGGCTTGCAGGTTAAGACCAGTACAAGTCCTCTTAAAATATTTGTATCAGTAACTTTTTAGCTGTATGACCTATGACCCACATGGGTTGAGCAGTTTTGAATATATTTATACTGTATAGCATTCTTTAATTTCTCTGAAAATTACTACTAAAGGTACATCAGAGGTAAAGGTAATTGTCTACAGTATTAAGCACTAAACCTGTATGGGCCAAAACAGCACTACCTATATTTTATCATGCAGCCTTGTCCAGTTGACTAAGCTACATGAAGCAACTCTAGAAAGGTTCCTAGGGGCCAGTTGTCTCGAGCCAAGAAATCTGAACTGTCCTGTTCCTTGAATCAAACCCAATTGCCTCAGGAACTGTATAGCCACTATGGGGTCCCCCTAAATATAATTACACATTATGTAATCTTTCCTCATAATAATTAAACATGATGGCCTTTCATTCCCCATGTAGGTAATACAAGTCCACATCCCTTTATCCGAAACCCTTGGGGGCCAGTATTGTTTTGAATTTCAGAATGATTCTCAATGCCACCACGTGGCGGTGTGACCCAGCACTGAGATGACCGATGCTCCACACTCCATGAAAAAACTTCGGTTTTTGGAACTTTTCGAATTTCAGATATAGGGATGTGGACCTGTACACTCCTTGACACCTAAAAGTTTAGCACTCCATGAATGTAATAGTAATACAGTGGACCCCTGGTTCGCGATGCTATCGGTATCTGATAAATCCGGTATGCGATGAATTATATTGCCAAAAATTTGCCTCGGTTCCCGTTACAAAACCCTGTATACGCGATTCGTCCGAGACGTGGACACGTGTGGCCTGAACTGCCCCGTGTGTGCCAGTGTTTACAAGCCAGCCAGTGTGCTCGCATCTAAGGATATATTTGGTACATTCCATATTATCACAGTGTTTTTGGTGCTTACTTCTGCAAAATAAGTCACCATGGGCCCCAAGAAAGCTTCTAGTGCCAACTCTTCGAGACCAAGGGTGCTAATGAATATTGAAATGAAGAAAGAGATAATTGCAAATCGAAAGTGGAGTCTGTGTCGGAGGGGCCAAAGTTGTTACAAAACCCCAATAAAACCATCTCTACTATAGTGCCAGAAAATAGCAATCAAGGAAGCTGTTGTTTAAAAAGGGTGCAACTGTGATTACGAAACACGCCCGAAAGTGCTAGAAAATGTTAGAGATGTTATTGGGTGTGGATAAATGAAAAACAGATAGCAGGAGATGCATCTTCAAGCGATATTTTGGGGGGAAAAGGGTGGGCAGTTGCATGCGTTTTGGTAAAGAAATTCCCTGCAATAGGGGTGATGTGAGTGAATTTAAGGGCCCCAAAAAGGGTTTGGTTTTTAAAAGATTTAAAAAACGTAGTGGATACATAGTGTGATTAGGCATGGTGAGGCTGCCAGTTCAGACCAAAAAGCAGCTGAAAAATATATGAAGGAATTCAAAGATTACATAGACAGTGAAGACTTGAAACCTGAACAAATGTTTAATTGCGATGAAACGGGCCTGTTTTGGAAGAAACTGCCAAGCAGGACCTACATTACTCAGGAGGAAAAGGCACTCCCAGGACATAAGCCTATGAAAGACAGGCTTACTCTTCTGATGTGTGCCAATGCTAGTGGTGATTGCAAAGTGAAGCCTTTTTTGGTGTATCACTCAAACTCCCAGAGCATTCAGGTAAAAATATCCTCAAGGCTAATTTGTGTGTGCTGTGGAGGGCAAACAGTAAGGCATGGGTCACTAGGGACTTTTTCTATGACTGGTTACACCATGCATTTGCCCCCAATGTGAAAAATTACCTAATTGAAAAGAAATTGGACCTTAAGTGCCTCCTGGTATTAGACAATGCCCCTGGTCATCCTACAGACTTGGCAGAGCGACTTTCTGGGGACATGAGCTTCATTAAGGTTAAGTTTTTGCCTCCTAATACCACTCTTCTCCTGCAGCCCATGGACCAGCAGGTCATTTCCAACTTCAAGAAACTGTACACAAAAGCTATATCTGAAAGGTGCTTTGAAGTGACCACAGAGACACTATTGAATCTAAAGGAGTTTTGGAAGGATCACTTTAATATCCTCAATTGTGTAAACCTTATAAGTAAGGCTTGGAAGGGAGTGACTAAGAGGACCTTGAACTCTGCCTGGAAAAAACTGGCCAGAATGTGTAGACAAAAGGGATTTCAAAGGGTTTGAGGCTAACCCTGAGAAGCCTATGCCAGTTGAGGAATCCATTGTGGCATTGGTGAAGTCCTTGGGGTTGGAGGTTAGTGGGGAGGATGTGGTAGAGTTGATGGAGGAGGACAATGACGAACTAACTACTGATGAGCTGCTAGATCATCTTCAACAGCAAGAGGCCAGACCTGAGGAAACTGCTTCAGAGGAGGGGATGGATAAAGTGAAGAAGTTGCCTACTTCAAAGATTAGGGAAATGTGTGCAAAGTGGCTTAAAGTGCAAAGCTTTTTTGATGAAAATCACCCTCAGAGAGCTACTGCAAGCCGTGTTGGCAACCTGTACAATGACACTGTTGTGAACCACTTTAGGAAAGTCATAAAGGAACGAGAGGTACAGGCCTTTATGGACAGATATGTTGTGTGACAGAAGTCCAGTGACTCTCAAGCTGGTCCTAGTGGCATTAAAAGAAGGGAAGTAACCCCAGAAAAGGACTTGCTACCTCAAGACCTAATGGAGGGGGATTCCCCTTCTAAACAATAGGTTCAACACTCTCCCCTCCTCCCATCCCATCAATCATCACCAGATCTTCATTAAAGGTAAGTGTCATGTATTCTATTCTTAGTAGAGTACATACTACAAACTGTGCATGTCTTCAGTTTGTGTGCATTAAACTTAATATTTCATGTGGTAAAAGTTTTTTTTTTTTTCATACTTTTGGGTGTCTTGCACGGATTAATTTGATTTCCATTAGTTCTTATGAGGAAAACTGATTCGCTTTCCGATAATTTTGGTTTACGATGAGCTCTCAGGAACGGATTAATATCGCGAACCGGGGATCCACTGTATAATAAGAACAATAATATAGCATTTTCCCATGAGCATATTTATACATTTAACAAACAACATTTAATGGTATCTTAAGTGTTCCTCAATAGTGATTCATTCAACATCATTTCTGTGCACGCATGCACACACAATCACTTGTGTGTACATGCGTGCACACTTGATATTTTTACCACATTAGCCATCTCCCACCATCAATAACTAGCCAGAAGTGGATAAATATTAAATTTAAATTACCCTCCTAACCACATCACTTCCCCTACACAAGCTGCTCACGATGTAAGACCAAAATTAGAATATGCAGTTGTGACATGAAGCAGCAGCTGAAAAAGCATGTATGATGTATGTTACAAAAAATTTTTATGCCCTTATTGGATGATTGGGGAAGGCATGATAACCAAATAAGAATGAGTATTAATATTTCTTAGCACTAACAAGAGGCCACAGATAAAAGCTAAAAGAACAGGTGTCAAAGATATCAGAAATCATCTTCACAGAGTTATAGAATAATAGACCTTTAAAGTAACTAGAGCTACTCTCCTTTTCCTTGAATCAAGCCCCATTACAGTACCTCTCATTTTTCAGGCACTGTACTGTACAACCCCATACAGGTTTAATGCTCATTTCTAATAAAAAAAATACAAGTTACAAAATGCTACAACCACTGGAAATCTGTATAATAAATCATATAACAAAGATAAGACACCATGAGCTTAGCTTTGCTCTTGTAGTTACCAACAGGTAATTACTGTACACACTATAAATGCACACACACTTGTGTAAATAATAGCCTCAATTAAAAAATAAAAATGAATTTACAATAAATATGGAAGTTTCCATTTATATACTGTAAATGGTAAACACATTTTACTTCACTGAAATTTCAATAGCTATTGAATAAAGCAGTTTCTTAATATAAGAATTTGCTCTCACCTAAGTCAGATAACATTTACTGTAGTAGACAACTTCAATGTCTAACTTCATCTTTAGAGTAAACTTTACAACCACTGTACCAATTCATCATGGTCTATTCCTGAATATCTGTAACCACTTTTGTTAGGTTGCACCTTACTTCACTGAGGAAGCTAAAACGAAGATTATAGGAGATCAGTACTTGCAAATGAGCCATTTTTGGATTTTTAACAAGCATTGTTTACTTTAGATATCAGTAGTGCAATTTGATAGTTTTAAAACTGGTTTTCATGTACCCTGTAAGAGTGATACAGACAAAGTGATCTAATTAAATCACACTGGAGCTTGTAGCTGAAGTTACAAGTTCCACCTAAACTTGAACAGCCAAATATTTACACTGAAAGTTCCACCTAGACTTGGTGAACAGCTGAAGAGAAATCATGATACTGCTTGAGAATCTTGGGTGAAACTGTCCTTGCTGTTGTCTGGATGGCCCTTAGGAAGTCTCTTAATTCTACATCACGAGCAACAATCTTGAAAGAAAAAATAAAACCTGCATTACATTACTTTGAAAATACTCCAAGCTTCAGAACGCCTGTGACTTAACCCGATTCCTCCTTTTTCTTCTTCACCTCTTCCCCTTTCCTTGTTCCTTTTTCTCCTTTGGGTTGTCTGTCTTCTGCCTTGTGTATTTGTTCCTTCATTATTTATTTATTTTTCCCCCCCCTCTGTGTTCTTGCTCTTACCCTCTGTGGGCACCTAGCTCCCTTGCAGTGCTCCTCTTTCTTAGTATTTGACTGGCTCCTCCTCCTTACTACCTTCCCCACTACTACCTTCTACCTCCACTACTACTATTACTACCACCACTACCTGCCTATATATACCCCTCCTCTCCTTTCCGTTAGTGTGACTTTGTAAATGGTTCAAGTCGGAATGAAACATCATTGTAAGCTCCTCTCTTCTATGTGCAGGTTATTTGTGTATTTTTGTAGCCTGATTCTTACATGGTTATGTGTAGCTTTGCAAACGAGACCTAAAGGGTAGTTAGCAAGATTTGGGCAGTTTAACACTGACACTTAAAGTATAGGTTTTATCTCACTTCCATGGGACCTAGAATAATTGGACAAGTGAAAAAAAAAAAAAGTCAGTCTGAGAAATGTTGCTCTACTGCTTTTGAAAGTTATAGTAATGTTAAACTAATCTTTCAAATACTTTTTTTTTCCAACATGCTGGTCGTCTCCCACCGAGGCAGGGTGACCCCAAAAAAAGAACACTTTCACCATCATTTACACAACCACTGTTCGCAGAGCAGTCAGATACAACAGTTCAGACATCACTTGGAACAGCAAATAAATTTATTGGTTCGTATTAACCCTGTTGTTTGAAAAGATCTTTTTGGTTTAATTACTCTCAATAATTATTTAAAAATATAAAATTAAATGGCCGACTATGAAATTGACCAAGTAGAACTAAGTCAATTTCACAGTGATGAAGTACGTAGAACTAAGTCAAGATGATTTTGTAAATTAAAATTCATTATATATGCCTTTCAAAGAAGGTTTCATGATGCCAGTGAGGGGTTCATGATCTGTGCTCTTTCCTTCATGGATCTCTGCTCTTTCCTTAAATATGACCTGAATGCCTCCCATTAGCCCCAGGCACTGTATGACCCCTACAGGTTTAGCACTCCCCCACACAAAACTATACATGTTAACTTTCATATTTAACGTTCTAATATGGCACTATTTGATTATTAAAAGGGTCAAAAAATGAAACTTCATTCCCATCTTGTTCACAGAAGGTTGAGGTTGATAAAGGTTCAGTACCTGATCTGCTGGTAGCTTGCACAAGGGATACTGCATGGCACCAAGGGTATCACTGGAGCATGGGGTAATCTTGTTGTCTGAAAGAAAAGTTTTTTTTTATTATTATTTTTTATTAACACATCGGCTGTTTCCCACTAAGGCAGGGTGGCCCGAAAAAGAAAAACTTTCATCATCATTCACTGCATCACTGTCTTGCCAGAGGCATACTTACACTACAGTTATAAAACTGCAACATTAACACCCCTCCTTCAGTGCACCGGCACTGTACTTCCCATCTCCAGGAATAAAGTCCGGCCTGCCAGTTTCCCTGAATCCCTTCATAAATGTTACCTTGCTTACACTCCAACAGCACGTCAAGTCCTAAAAATCATTTGTCTACATTCGCTCCTATCTAACACGCTCGCACACGCTTGCTGAAAGTCTAAGCCTCTAGCACACAAAACCTCCTTTACCCCCTCCTTCCAACCTTTCCTAGGCCAACCCCTACCCCGCCTTCCCTCCATTACAGATTTATACACTCTTGTAGTCATTCTATTTCATTCCATCCTCTCTAGATGTCTCAACCATCTCAATAACCCCTCCTCTGGATAACAGTTTTGGTAATCCCACACCACCTCCTAATCTCCAAACTATGGACTCTCTGAATTATATTCACACCACACATTGCCCTCAGACATGACATCTCCACTGCCTCCAGCCTTCTTGTTGCAATATTCACAACCCATGCCTAACACCCATACAAGAGCATTGGTATAACTATACTCTCATACATTGCCTTCTTTGCTTTCGTGGCTAAAGTTTTGTCTCCACAGACTCCTCAGTGAACCACTCACCTTTTTTCCCTAGTCAATTCTATGATTCACCTCATCCTTCATAGACCCATCTGCTGACACATCCACTCCCAAATATCTGAACACATTCACCTTCTCCATACTCTCTCCCTCCAATCTGATATCCAATCTTCCATTACCTAATTTTTTTTTTATCCTCATCACCTTACTCTTTCCTATACAGTGGACCCCCGGATAACGATCAGCTCCCAACTCGACCAATTATGTAAGTTTATTTTTGTAAGTGCTTTTGTAGGAGTATTTTTAGGGGTCTGAAATGGACTAATCTAATTCACAATATTTCTTATGGGAACAAATTCGGTCTATAATGGCACCCAAACAGACTTCTGGATTGAAATAATATCGTTATGCGGGGGTCCACTGTATTCACTTTTAATTTCCTTCTTTTACATACCCTACCAAACTCATCGACCAATCTCTGCAACTTCTCTTCAGAATCTCCCATAAGCAGTGTCATCAGCAAAGAGCAACTGTGACAACTCCCACTTTGTGTTAGATTCTTTATCTTTTAACCCCACACCTCCTGCCAACACCTGAGCATTCACTTCTCTTACAACTCCATCCATAAATACAGTGGTCCCTCAATAATCGTCCATAATCCGTTCCTGGAAGTGGGACTATTATCGAAATGGACGATTTTCGAATCAATTTTCCCCATAAGAAATAATGTAAATCCAATTAATTCGTTCCAGACACCCAGAAGTATCAACAAAATTTTTTTTTTTACCTAAAAGATAGATTTACATGCACAGAAGAATGAACATTCAACATGACAGTTACCTTTATTGAAGGCTGTTGTTGATGAATGGAAGACAGGGAGGAGGAGGAGAGGGAAGAGGTTATTTGGAAGGGGAATCCCCCTCCATAAGGACTCTAGGGCAATAATAAAATGTATAAACATTGGTAATAGGGGTAGTTGATGAGTGGAACAGTCTGCCTAGTAGGGTGATTGAAGCTAAAACATTGGGTAGTTTCAAATTTAGGCTGGATAAAAACACGAGTGAGAGGGGTTGGATTTGAGTCGGACTTGCACCTGAGCTTATTGCTTGGGTAGCATTTGTTCTGTTAGTGGGTTGGATTTGTGAAGGACCGGCCTAGTATGGGCCAGCAGGCCTGTTCCAGTGTTCCTACTTTCTTAAGTTCTTATTTAACATCACACTTACCAGTAGGGTGATCGAGGCTAGGACCTTGGGTAGCTTTAAGAAGAGATTGGACAAATATACGAGTTGGAGGAGCCGAGTTTGATTTGTGTCATTGGGTACGGGAGTAAATTCTTGGGTAGCTTTGGGTGGAGGTCATTTTGATAAGGACCTGCCTTGTATGGGCCAGTAGACCTGCAGTGTTCTTCCATTGTTATGTTCTTATTGGCTATTTGTTTGTGTGAGGGAGGGATGGCAAGTTTATTGTTGGAGAATATGACACTAATATCAACTCTATGGCTTATCTATCAAAATTCAACTAATATGACATAATAAACAATATTAATAACATAGAAACATAGAACATACTCTAGAATGAATAAAATAAGTCATTACGTATGTCACGAGAGGTGTTGTGTTGTGTTGTTGTTGGGTATATAAGGGCCACTGAGTGTAAGCCGTCCATAATGGTGGTGAAGCAGCAGCTGAGTCGGCGGTGGGTTTTGTAGCCCTATATAACTCCAACAACATTGGAGGAGTTGGTAGAATCGCTGAACCACTAAAGAAGGAACCCACTACCACCATCACTACGACCTTCTACGACTATTACAACTGTTACCACCATCACTACTACCTTCTACCATCACTACTACCTTCTACCACCATCACTACTACCTTCTGACACCATCACTACTACCTTCTACCACCATCACTACTACCTTCTACCACCATCACTACTACCTTCTACCACCATCACTACTACCTTCTACCACCATCACTACTACCTTCTATCACCATCACTACTACCTTCTACCACCATCACTACTACCTTCTACCACCATCACTACTACCTTCTACCACCATCACTACTACCTTCTACCACCATCACTACCACCAAAGAAAGCTTCTAGTGCCAGCCCTTTGGTAAAGAATGTGAGAAACACATAATTTATGAAAAAGTTTGTAGAAAAATACAAAGATGGTGGTGGTAGAGTGGAAGCAGTTGTGATAGTGGTTGATGAACATAAGAAAGGAGGATCACTGCAGCAGGCCTGTTGGCCCATGCTCGGCAGGTCATTTACAATTCATCCCATTTTCCCAACCCAGTCCTCAATGCTACCCAAGCTCTGATAACTCTATCCACTCATTTGGGACTTGCAAATGAGTGGATAGTTATCAGAGCTTATTTCTTGGGTAGCATTGAGGACTGGGCTGGGAAAATGTTTCGTTAGTGGGATGAATTGTAAAGGACCTGCCGAGCATGGGCCAACAGGCCTGCTGCAGTGATCCTCCTTTCTTATGTTCATCAACCACTATCACAACTGCTTCCACTCTACCACCACCATCTTTGTATTTTTCTACAAACTTTTTCATAAATTGTGTGTTTCCCACATTCTTTACCAAAGGGCTGGCACTAGAAGCTTTATTTGGAGCCATGGTAGCTTATTTAGCACTTGCAAGCACTAAAATCAATGGAATATTATGAAATATTTCGTAGGAGTATGTGAGGGGACCGTCACTCACTGGTAAACAATGGCACACTGGCTGGGAAGGAAAGGCTGAGGCAGCTCAGAGCTTGAGTACGCGTCCGGGACGAAGAACTATTAGGACTATTAGCTAGTTACCGGACCATTTGCGAGCCAATATTTTGACGAAAAAACAGGACTATTTCCGAAATGGACGACTTTCAGGCCGGACGATTATTGAGGGACCACTGTATACTGAACAACCATGGTGACATCACACATTCCTGTCTAAGGTCTACTTTTACTGGGAAATAATCTCCCTCTCACCCACATACTCTAACTTGAGCCTCACTATCCTCGTAAAAGCTTTTCACCGCTTTCAATAACCTACTTCTTATACTCACTGTGCCTTAACCCATTCAGGGTTCCGGCCGTACTAGTACGGCTTACGCTCCAGGGTTTTTGACGTACTAGTAAGCATAAATTCTAGCGCCCTCATATCTAGTGAGAGAAAGCTGGTAGGCCTACATATGAAAGAATGGGTCTATGTGGTCAGTGTGCACACTATAAAAAAAATCCTGCAGCACACAGTGCGTAATGAGAAAAAAAAAAACTTTGACCATGTTTTTGGATTAAAACAGTGAATTTGCACTGTATTTTCATATGGTATTTATTGTTGTATTCTAGTTTTCCTGGTCATTTTATAGAATGGAAGACATATTATAGAAACTGAGATGATTTTGACTGGTTTTACAATGAAAAGTACCTTGAAATTGAGCTCAAAGTAGCAGAAATGTTCGATTTTTACCAAAGTTCAAAAGTAAACAAATCATGCCTAGCGTCCAATACACGTCACCTGCTGAGTCTAATATTCTTTCACAAGTGCGCTGATATTATTTATACCATTTCTACACTAATGCAGTAGTCTGCATAACAGTAAAACTTCTATTTTTTTGTATGAATAAAAATTCAAAGTGGAAAGCCAAAGAAATATAAGAGGGGCCTGGGGATGTGACTAACGAACAGAGAACTTGTTATTTTAGTGTCAGGAATGTCTTTCTTGTTTATTATGGACTCTATTCAGAAATTGGCATCTTTTGAAATTTGTGTGAAATTGGCAAAATTGCTAGATTCTGACCACTTTATCGGATAGTTGAAATCGGTAAATGGGTGGTTTCTTGTACTCGTTCGATAGAAAAAATGGAGTTCTAGTGAAACAGTTATGATTTTTCTCGACTAGTACATTGGAAATGGCTGAAAATAGGGCTCAAAGTGGGCAAAATCGCTAATGCGTAAATATCGTCGAGACCGCTAACTTCACGAGAGCATAATTCCGTAAGTTTTCCATCAAATTTCATACTTTTGGTGTCATTATAATCGGGAAAAGATTCTCTATCTTTTCATAAGTTTTTTTTTTTTTTTTTTTTAAATTTGGGGACCCTGAGAACAAGTCTCAGAGAGGGCCTGGGGACCCTGAAAGGGTTAATAGCTAACTGATACACTATTTCTGTATAACTTTACCATCTGTGAATCTCCAGAAGCGAGAAGAATGCAAGTCTCTAATTGGTTGAAAAGCAGCAGCCATAGTCAGGTGAGTAAGATCAGCACCTGAGTAGCCTTCAGTAGAGTCCAAGAGTGTCTGCCATTCAGAGTCAGTTAAGTGTAATGGTACTCTACCAAACTGACTGGAAATTATAGTGCGGCGACCTTCCCTGCAGAGAATTGTTTTGTATTACAATGTACATATAGAATGGTTTTTAACATTACAGTACATACAATTCATAGTTTAAACATACTGCACATTTAAGCGTAGTAAAATAGGCATAAAGCATTATACTCCTTCCACTCTTGTGTTATCACATCTAAGTGATGGGTTCTTCTCCTGTGCGACACAACTCTGTCCAGGCAGGATACACATCAAGCTTGGTGCATTGCTTAATTAAAAAGCAACCATACAATTGATCTTAATGTTTATCAAATACATTTCCCTTTTTAATTAGACTCTTGGTGCACATGAAGGGTTCATATTTTTCTGGTACCATACACAATCAATCCAAAAATGTTGAACTTTTTTTTTCCCATTTAGTACAGTGCATAAAATAAAAAACAACAATAAAAGTTTCTCAAAAATTTATTCTACAGATTTCTCACCCTGATCAAAGCCATTTATTGCTTTTAAATAAAGTTTATTTTCCATGGTAGATATTACATTATATACCATTTCATATTATATAGAGAAGCCCATAGTTATGCAATGCATTTTAAGCAGACAAGAATGAACATACGTTAATATAGTTAATAGAATATGGCAACCAGATTATAATGTCAAGTGTTTCAAGAAAAATCTCAAACTAAAGCCAATCAAACTGTAGGATTTTCCTAAAAATTTCATCAACTAATTTCCCACCAGCAACAACTGTTAAGTATATTTTTCTATGGCATTTTTATGCTCTAAAATACATTACCAATTAACTTGTATGGCAATTACTGCAATATTATGCTGAGATATTTAAACTACCTAGGTAGTAGGTTGGTAAACAGCAACCGCCCAGGGAGGTACTACGTCCTGCCAAGAAAGTGTACAACGAAAACCTGTAATTGTTTTACATGATGGTAGGATTGCTGGTGTCTTTTGTCTGTCTCATAAACATGCAAGATTTCAGGTATGTCTTGCTACTTCTACTTGCACTTAGGTCACACTACACATACATGTACAAGCATATATATACACACACCCCTCTAGGTATTCTTCTATTTTCTTTCTAGTTCTTGTTCTTGTTTATTTCCTATCTCCATGCGGAAGTGGAACAGAATTCTTCCTCCCTAAGCCATGCGTGTTGTAAGAGGCAACTAAAATGCCGGGAGCAAGGGGCTAGTAACCCCTTCTCCTGTATAAATTACTAAATTTAAGAGAAACTTTCGTTTTTCTTTTTGGGCCACCCTGCCTTGGTGGGATACGGCCGGTGTGTTGAAAGAAAGAATAAACTATAAAAGTCATACAAGCGGGCCCCACTCGTACAGTCATACAGGCAGGCCCCACTCGTACAGTCATACAGGCGGGCCCCACTTGTACAGTCATACAGGCAGGCCCTACTTGTACAGTCATACAGGCGGGCACCACTCGTACAGTCATACAGGTGGGCCCCCACTCGTCTACGTCATACAGGGGGCCCCACTCGTACAGTCATACAGGCGGGCCCCACTCGTACAGTCATACAGGCGGGCCCCGCTTGAACAGTCATACAGGCGGGCCCCACTCGTACAGTCATACAGGCGGGCCCCACTCGTACAGTCATACAGGCGGGCCCCACTTGTACAGTCATATAGGCGGGCACCACTCGTACAGTCATACAGGCGGGCACCACTCGTACAGTCATACAGGTGGGCACCACTCGTACAGTCATACAGGTGGGCCCCACTCGTACAGTCATACAGGTGGGCCCCACTCGTACAGTCATACAGGTGGGCCCCACTCGTACAGTCATACAGGCAGACCCCACTTGTACAGCAGGTTAGGTTCCTGGCTACTGGTGTAAAATGAAAAAGCCTTTTTTCAAGTTCAAATGCATATAAAAGTCTGATAACATGTTTACACTATCATATAGTGAGCAATAGAGCTAGGCCTAAAAAATGCATATACAGTACACACATTACTTGAAAGTATTTTTGTCTTTAGCTTATGGTGAGTGGTAAATACATTTATTGTCGTAAGTCACAGGTAGTAGGTTGGTAGACAGCAACCACCCAGGGAAGTACTACCGTCCTGCCAGATGACTGTGAAACAGAAACCTGTAACTGTTTTGCATGATGGTAGGATTGCTGGTGTCTTTTTCTGTCTCATAAACATGCTAGATAACAGGGATACCTTGCTACTCCTACTTACACTTTGGTCACACTTCACAGACACGCACATGCATATATATATATATATTTTTTATTATTTTTATTATCACACTGGCCGATTCCCACCAAGGCAGGGTGGCCCGAAAAAGAAAAACTTTCACCATCATTCACTCCATCACTGTCTTGCCAGAAGGGTGCTTTACACTACAGTTTTTAAACTGCAACATTAACACCCCTCCTTCAGAGTGCAGGCACTGTACTTCCCATCTCCAGGACTCAAGTCCGGCCTGCCGGTTTCCCTGAACCCCTTCATAAATGTTACTTTGCTCACACTCCAACAGCACGTCAAGTATTAAAAACCATTTAATACTAATATATTATATATATATATATTATATATATATATATATATATATATATATATATTATATATATATATATATATATATATAGAAAGGGGTTTAGTTATAGGTAATACATATTTTAAGGAAAAGAGGATAAATAAGTATACAAGATATGATGTAGGGCGAAATGACAGTAGTTTGTTGGATTATGTATTGGTAGATAAAAGACTGTTGAGTAGACTTCAGGATGTACATGTTTATAGAGGGGCCACAGATATATCAGATCACTTTCTAGTTGTAGCTACACTGAGAGTAAAAGGCAGATGGGATACAAGGAGAATAGAAGCATCAGGGAAGAGAGAGGTGAAGGTTTATAAACTAAAAGAGGAGGCAGTTAGGGTAAGATATAAACAGCTATTGGAGGATAGATGGGCTAATGAGAGCATAGGCAATGGGGTCAAAGAGGTATGGGGTAGGTTTAAAAATGTAGTGTTAGAGTGTTCAGCAGAAGTTTGTGGTTACAGGAAAGTGGGTGCAGGAGGGAAGAGGAGCGATTGGTGGAATGATGATGTAAAGAGAGTAGTAAGGGAGAAAAAGTTAGCATTTGAGAAGTTTTTACAAAGTAGAAGTGATGCAAGGAGGGAAGAGTATATGGAGAAAAAGAGAGGTTAAGAGAGTGGTGAAGCAATGTAAAAAGAGAGCAAATGAGAGAGTGGGTGAGATGTTATCAACAAATTTTGTTGAAAAAAGAAAAAGTTTTGGAGTGAGATTAACAAGTTAAGAAAGCCTAGAGAACAAATGGATTTGTCAGTTAAAAATAGGAGAGGAGAGTTATTAAATGGAGAGTTAGAGGTATTGGGAAGACGGAGGGAATATTTTGAGGAATTGTTAAATGTTGATGAAGATAGAGAAGCTGTGATTTCGTGTATAGGGCAAGGAGGAATAACATCTTGTAGGAGTGAGGAAGAGCCAGCTGTGAGTGTGGGGGAAGTTCGTGAGGCAGTAGGTAAAATGAAAGGCGGTAAGGCAGCTGGGATTGATGGGATAAAGATAGAAATGTTAAAAGCAGGTGGGGATATAGTTTTGGAGTGGTTGGTGCAATTATTTAATAAATGTATGGAAGAGGGTAAGGTACCTAGGGATTGGCAGAGAGCATGCATAGTTCCTTTGTATAAAGGCAAAGGGGATAAAAGAGAGTGCAAAAATTATAGGGGGATAAGTCTGTTGAGTATACCTGGTAAAGTGTATGGTAGAGTTATAATTGAAAGAATTAAGAGTAAGACGGAAAATAGGATAGCAGATGAACAAGGAGGCTTTAGGAAAGGTAGGGGGTGTGTGGACCAGGTGTTTACAGTGAAACATATAAGTGAACAGTATTTAGATAAGGCTAAAGAGGTCTTTGTGGCATTTATGGATTTGGAAAAGGTGTATGACAGGGTGGATAGGGGGGCAATGTGACAGATGTTGCAGGTGTATGGTGTAGGAGGTAGGTTACTGAAAGCAGTGAAGTTTTTACGAGGATAGTGAGGCTCAAGTTAGAGTATGTAGGAAAGAGGGAGATTATTTCCCAGTAAAAGTAGGCCTTAGACAAGGATGTGTGATGTCACCGTGGTTGTTTAATATATTTATAGATGGAGTTGTAAGAGAAGTAAATGAGAGGGTCTTGGCAAGAGGTGTGGAGTTAAAAGATAAAGAATCACACAAAGTGGGAGTTGTCACAGTTGCTCTTTGCTGATGACATTGTGCTCTTATGAGATTCTGAAGAGAAGTTGCAGAGGTTGGTGGATGAATTTGGTAGGGTGTGCAAAAGAAGAAAATTAAAAGTGAATACAGGAAAGAGTAAGGTTGAGGATAACAAAAAGATTAGGTGATGAAAGATTGGATATCAGATTGGAGGGAGTATGGAGGAGGTGAATGTATTCGATATTTGGGAGTGGACGTGTCAGCGGATGGGTCTATGAAAGATGAGGTGAATCATAGAACTGATGAGGGGAAAAGGGCAAGCGGTGCACTTAGGAGTCTGTGGAGACAAAGAACTTTGTCCTTAGAGGCAAAGAGGAGAATGTATGAGAGTACGTATAGTTTTACCAACGCTCTTATATGGGTGTGAAGCATGGGTGATGAATGTTGCAGCGAGGAGAAGGCTGGAGGCAGTGGAGATGTCATGTCTGAGGGCAATGTGTGGTGTGAATATAATGCAGAGAATTCATAGTTTGGAAGTTAGGAGGAGGTGCGGAATTACAAAAACTGTTGTCCAGAGGGCTGAGGAAGGGTTGTTGAGGTGGTTCGGACATGTAGAGAGAATGGAGCGAAACAGAATGACTTCAAGAGTGTATCAGTCTGTAGTGGAAGGAAGGCGGGGTAGGGGTCGGCCTAGGAAAGGTTGGAGGGAGGGGGTAAAGGAGGTTTTGTGTGTGAGGGGCTTGGACTTCCAGCGGGCATGCGTGAGTGTGTTTGATAGGAGTGAATGGAGACAAATGGTTTTTAATAATTGACATGCTGTTGGAGTGTGAGCAAAGTAACATTTATGAAGGGATTCAGGGAAACCGGCAGGCCGGACTTGAATCCTGGAGATGGGAAGTACAGTGCCTTCACTCTGAAGGAGGGGTGTTAATGTTGCAGTTTAAAAACTGTAGTGCAAAGTGCCCTTCTGGCAAGACAGCGATGGAGTGAATGATGTGAAAGTTTTTCTTTTTCGGGTCACCCTGCCTTGGTGGGAATCGGCCAGTGTGTTAATAATAAAAAAAATAAGGCTGAATAAACGAAGAATGCGTGACGCACTCGTTTACCGATGACTCAAGACTTACGACGGGCTCTCTGACCAGTATGCATACCTAAATATTGTATATTAGAGTTGATTTTTTCAGTTTATTACAATATACGTACAGTACACTACTGTATAAACATTTAAAAATATGCCAGAAATGTTATAAATGGTGCAAAGGTGACATTAAAACAACATCATAGATGGCTGGCACAAACCTACTACCATTATAGTATGCTCCTCCCTTAGCAACAAATTTGTTTACTGACGTGATCTTAGGAACGGAACTCAGTAGTTAAGTGAGAAGCTGTATTACCGAAACGTCGTAAAGCAAAGCACTGTGAAACAGGGCCCTCCTATATAATAATAAAATGCCTAATGATTTCTTCTGATATACTTACTAGCAAAAAAGAGAAAATAGTTAGCTTTAATTATTTCACAGGCATTTAGAATTTGTTTTCCATAAAAGTATTGGGTAACTGAGGCAGTGGCTCATGATGCAAGTAGCTAATGTTACCTGTCAGGAAGAGGAATAAATATGCGTCGCTGGAAGCGTCTGAGGAAGGCAGGGTCAAGATCCCATGGACAATTGGTGGCCCCTAACAAGAACACACCTGAAGTCTCACTCTCCTCTACTCCCTCAATTTTCCGCAACAGCTCCGACTTCACTCTGATAATGATATATGAACTGTAAGTATCTTTTTTCACCATTTACTATACATTATTACTGTATGCATTGTATACTACCATTTTGCATTGTCCCCCACTGATCTGGTTGGTAGACAACCACCATCCAGGGAACTATTAACATCATATCTGTAGAAGTGATAAAGGATATGCCATAAATGTTCTGCTCTCTGGCAGGATTGCTAGTCTTTTCTTTGTTTTATTAACACAAGATGGTAGGTGAATTTTACAAACTTCTATTTACATTCAATAACAGTTCTTAATCCTGTAAAGATATTCCTTTACAATTTAGGTCTGGTCAGAGAATGAACTGCAGTTTACCTGGAGAGAGTTCCGGGAGTCAACGCCCCCACAGCCCAGTCTGTGACCAGGCCTCATGGTGGATCAGAGCCTGATCAACCAGGCTGTTACTGCTAGCTGCACGCAATCCGACGTACGAACCACAGCCTGGCTGGTCAGGTACCGACTTTACGTGCTTGTCCAATGCCAGCTTGAAAACAGCCAGGGGTCTATTGGTAATCCCCCTAATGTATGCTTGGAGGCAGTTGAACAGTCTCAGGCCCCCGACACTTATTGTATTGTCTCTTAAGGATTAAAGGTTTCTTTGCCGAGTATCTTTTTTACCACCATTTGTTGGCTCAGTCATTCATATACAAAAGGTACATTAGTAGTATTATTACTAGCAGTATAATAATAATACTAATAATCATCTTTATTTCTACAAGTACATGTACAAGGTATACAGGCCTAGCTGACATTAATGACATCCTACTATATAGAAAGCTGCTTGTTATACTAAGAATTTCCTACAAATTAGGTCAATTTTGTCCCTGGATGTGACCCACACCAGTTGACAAACACCCAGGTACCCATTTTACTGATGGGTGAACAGGGATAGCAAGTGTATTATGGAAACACGTCCTCAGTGTGTGAGCCGAGTGTCCTAGTGATAGAGCTATGGGTCAGTAGTAATACAGTACTGTATATATAATCACAGGATGAAATTCTGCTTGGTTCCTTAGCCACTATAATGAAGTTGATTATTCTAACAATTATATGTGAGCATATGAAGCAACAGAGAGATCAACAATGGACATTACACACCTTCTTGAGTGTTCATCTTCTGTTGGTAAACGTTTTCTACACAAACTGTCAATTTCATCCATGAAAATAATACTCTGGCCTTCTTGCTGCTTTGCATGATGGAACAAGTCTCTGATTAATCTGCCAAAGAAACAATACTAGTAAAAAAAAAAATTTAATCAGACAAGCAAGGAATTTGCATGTGCATTTAACAAATTTAATGAATATAACATTTTTGCAGCACTTATTAAATTATAAAATATTAAGTCTTATAACCTATTCTTGTACTGGATACAGTGTAACAGTTCCCACCTTTAAGGACTCAGGTCTGGCTAACTAGTTTCCTCTGAGTCATATTGTGTATGTTACCTTTCACACACTCCAACAGCACATCCATTAAAGTCCCTTGTCTCCACTGGCATTTGAGCTAACATGCTTGCACAAGTCTGCTGAATTCTCAAGCAGATAACACTCAAAACTTCCTAAATTTATCTCTTTCCTCCATCAGGTATTGTTCACTTATATGTTGCAATGTAAAACACTTGGTCTACACATCCTTACTCTTTGTAAAACTTCCTTGTTCCTCTGCAATCTTACTTTTCTATCTTACCCATAATTCTTTCAATAATAACAACCATACAATTTACCTAGTACATACTTAACAGGCTTATTCCATTATAATTGTTATTTTTTTATTCCCTTTTCCTTTATATAAAGGAACTATGCAAACTCTTATTAATCCCCAAGCACCCTTTCACCTTTTATTTATTTATTTATTTATTTGAACATGATACAGAGAAGTACAAAGGAATACAGTTATTACAGTGCAACATGCCAAAGCCCCTTGTATGCAGAGCATTATGGGCAGGCTTAAAATTAACTTAAGATTAACTAAGCAATGATACATTCAGTGGTTAAAACATTATTGTAAACAGATAACAATTTAGCCCAAATGAGTATTACAAAGACAGGTCACATGGTCATTTACTGTGTTGCTGAGGATTCAATAGAATGGAGTATTCTGTTAGGTAATGTATTTAAAAAAAACAGTTTTATTGGGTCACAGATTAGACATTTATGAGATACAATAATGAGAAACATTAATGAGATACAATTATTCAGTATTTATTTAGTTGTGGGTGAGTAAGTGATTTTTGAGAAGAGACTTGAATTTATAAACAGACAGTGTTTCTTTTATATTCACAGGTAATGAATTCCAGATTATAGGGCCTTTTATGTTTACCTGGAGTTTACCTGGAGAGAGTTCCGGGGGTCAACGCCCCCGCGGCCCGGTCTGTGACCAGGCCTCCTGGTGGATCAGAGCCTGATCAACCAGGCTGTTGCTGCTGGCTGCACACAAACCAACGTACGAGCCACAGCCCGGCTGATCCGGAACTGACTTTAGGTGCTTGTCCAGTGCCAGCTTGAAGACTGCCAGGGGTCTGTTGGTAATCCCCCTTATGTGTGCGGGAGGCAGTTGATAACAGTCTCGGGCCCCTTGACACTTATTGGTTATTGTCTCTTAGTGCTAGTGACACCCCTGCTTTTTAATTGGGGGGATGGTGCACCGTCTGACCAAGTCTTTTGCTTTCGTAGATAGCTTAGTGAGTGATTTTCGTGTGCCTAGTACGGTACTAGTCCTCTAGGATTTTCCTGGTGTTATAATCATGTATATCTCCCTCCTGCTGTTCCAGGGAATACAGTTTAGGAACTCAAGCGCTCCCATTAATTGAGGTGTTTTATTATCAGTTATGCGCGCCGTTTGAAAGTTCTCTGTACATTTTCTAGGGTCGGCAATTTCATCCTGCCTTGAAAGGTGTCGTTAGTGTTGCAGCAAATATTGCTGCTAGATAGAACAAGTGACCTTGAAGAGAGTGTCATCTGGGCTTGGCCTCCCTTTGTTTTGAGAGTTTCTCATTATCCATCCTGTCATTTTTCTAGCAGATTCGATTGATACAATGTTATGTCCTGAAGGTGAGATCCCTCGACATGATCACTCCAGGTCTTTGACGTTGGTGTTTCGCTCTATTTTGTGGCCAGAATGTGTTTGTACTCTATATGAAGATTTAACTTTCTTCATGTTTACCATATCTGTAGTAATGATAATTTCTCATCGTTGAACTTCATATTGTTTTCTGCAGCCCACTGAATGAAAGATTTTGGTTGATGTCTGCTGGTGCATTTGCTGTGTCTGCAATGGAAGACACTGTCATGCAGATTCGGGTTGTCATCTGCCCAGAAAGGAAGGACACGGCGGTGTGATGGCTGACTTTCCTTGTCTATGTCGGATATAAGGATGAGGAACCAAGATGGGAACGAGTACTGTGCCTTGTGGAACAGAGCTTGTCACCGTAGCTGCCTCGACTTTAATCTGTTGACGACTACTCTCTGTGTTCTGTAGTGAGGTAGGAAAAATAGATCCATCGGACTTTCATGTTATTCTTTAGCACGCATTTTGTGCGCTATTACGGCCATGGCACACTTGTCGAAGGGCTTTGCAATGTCTGTATATGATTACTCTCTGCATTCTTTTTTGTCCTTTTGTGCATTTAGGACCTTCGTCGTAGTTGGTCCAATAGTTGAGACAGTGACAGGAGCGACCTGTTTCTCAAACCATGTTTGCCCTGGGTTGTGTAATGGATGGGTTTCTAGATGGGTGGTTGGATCTTGCTTTTTAGGGTCCCTTTCAAAGATTTTTATGATAGGGATGTTAGTGCTATTGGTCTGTAGTTCTTTGTGATGCCTTTACTGCCCTTTTGTGGAGTGGGCTATGTCTGTTGTTTTTAGTAACTGTGGGAGACCCCCGTGTCCAGCTCCTCTCCATTAGGATGGAAAAGGCTCGTGATAGGGGCTTCATTGCAGTTCTTGATGAAAACGGTGTTCCATTGAGGCTGGCCCTGGGGCAGAGTGATGGGCATGTCATTTATCGACTGTTCGAAGTCATTTGCGTCAGGATAACATTCGGACAGGCTGGTGTTAATCAAATTTTGTGGCTCTCTCATAAAAAATTCATTTTGATCTTTGACTCTCAGTCTGGTTAGCGGCTTGCTAAAACTGAGTATATAGGGACTTGAGTAGCTCAGTCATTTCCTTGCGTCCTTCTGTGGTAGGACCCATCGTGTTTATAGTTTAGGGGCCCAATACAGGACGTTGTCTCGATTTTGATTTGGCATAGGAGAAGAAATTTACTTTGGGTTTTTTCGATTTCATTTATGGCTTTTAGTTCTTTCCCGCGATTCCTGACTTCTAAAGGATTCTTTTAGCTTAAGTCGTGCTTGATATTTCTTGACCAGTGTCTCCCTACGCATTTCAGATAATTGACCTCTTAGCAGCTCTGTTATTCTTTTCCGTCGCCTGTATAAAGGAGCACCTGTCAATTTCTGTTTTAAATTACTCCTTTTTCTTAGAGGAATAAGCTTGTGCATTACTATCGAGTGCCACCGAGTTTAATCTGTTCTAGGCTTAAGTTGGGAGTCTGTGTTGACTTAGTTATCTTCCAGCGTATATCGGTTAGGACTTGGTTTACTTGGATCCCACTCATGTTTATGTTTTTGTTATTGTCAAGTTGAATTTGGTGAATGCTCCCTCGTGACTAATCTCATTATGTCGGTCTGGGGCTCCGCGCATACATGACACCGCAATTATGTTGTGATTGGTATATTGTTTTTGATATGGTGATATTTCTTTATCAGATCATCGTTAGTGAGATGAGGGTTAGTGTTTTCTCCAGTTCTAGTAGGGCTTATATTTGCTGGTTTTTAAATTGAATTTGTGCAGGATTTAAAAGCTCGCGTGAGTGTGAGTTTCATCAGAGCTGCCTCCTGGTGTTATTACTTGCAACAATATTATTTGCTATATTCTCCATTTTTAGGTGCCTTAAGTTGAAATCCCCCTGGAGCAAGATGTTGGGTGCAGGAGCTGGAATGTTTCCCAGACCGTGGTCAATTTTTAACAGGCTGTTTATTTCCCCTGGAATTGCTGGGATGATGATTCCGGAGGTCTTGTAGACTATCACAATGACTAGGGTTTTGGTTCTCCCGACCCGTTACTGCTAAAATTTCACTAATCATTTGAGGCATTTAGCAGGTCTGTGCAAACATGTGATCTGCAAAGTACAGGCCAATCCCCCCCCTGTTGCCTGTTCAACTCTGTCACAATCTGTATAGGTTGAACCTTGGGTCCATTTTCGCTATTTGTCCAAGTGATCCTTTATGGGGTCTCAGTGAAAGCCGCGTAACATTTGCCTTTGCCTCTGCAAGCATGTCCACGGATGAAAGGTATTTTGTTGTTTGTTGTGGCTTTAGGACCCTGTATATTTGCAAAGAAGAATGTTATCGGACTGGTGGTTTTGTTGGTACTTGGGGAGGGTTTTTTTCCGGCATTGTATCTGTATCGGTTGGTTTGGAGTGGGAGAGGCCAGCGACTGTGGTTCCACTCCAGGAATGACTGGATTTGGGTGTACGATTTCTGCCCATTTAATCTGCAGTTTTTTCCTTCCTGGCACTTAAAAAACCTCTCCCTCTTGAGTGGCTGTGGCTACCCAGGTTTTCCCATGGCCTGGATGTTTTGTATCTTTTTGTCCCCTTTAGATGGTATGCCTGGCAATTTAAGTTATAGCACAGTCTTTCCTGTACTGAAGAGGTACACAGTTCAGGGTGAAAAAGCTTACAGGAAGGGAGTTTGCATTTTCCTGTTGTCATATGGGCATGGCATTTCCTAGGGTGGTCATAGTTGCACGTCCCATCTGTTTTTCCAGATTTCCCATGCCAGCAGATACCGAGTGCATTGAGTTTTTGCATAACGTGAGATGGATACGAGGAACATCAAAGAGTGATCTGTGCCTTGTGTTAGGGTCATGTGTTCTGTTGAGGTTGGTAAGGAGACGTTTAAAGGGAGGGTTAATATCAGAGTTAAGTGTTCTATGTATGTAATAGGCGCAGTAATAAGTATGGATGTTTTGTATGGTGAGTAGGTTTAGAGTTTTGAATATTGGTGGAGTATGCTGCCTGGAGTGGGAATTTATCATTATTCTGACTGCAGCCTTTTGTTGGGTAATTAATGGTCTAAGATGGTTTATTGTTGCTGAGCCCCATGCACAAATTCCATAGGTGTGATAGGGTAAATTAAGTGGAGTGATATAC